ATGGTAAACTAAAGTAAATTTCAATGTCAGTTCTAGTGGAACTTGAATGTCATTAAATATATTTATTATTACATATTTGTAATGGTGAAATTCTGTACTTGTTAAATATATTAACTTTAATTGTTATTATTACAAATAACACACTACAGTTAAAACTGCAATCATGTTCTTTGCATATTCTTTAATATGGTAGTCAATATAATGATTTAAAATGTGCTATAATATGTGAAATATGTGAGTGTGTGTGTGTATGTACTTATGTGTGTTAAGAAAGTCATGAAAGTGTACTCTTCAGTTACACTTATGTGGGTTTGTATTTCATTATTATGTGGCATTATTATTGAATTATTATTATACATATATTATTGAACTCAAATGTGGCATGAATTTCTCATTCTAACGCTGTGTGTGTCACAGGTCATCTGCTGTGCATCATGTGTTGAGGAGATCTCTGTACACCTCACGCTTTGGGAGCAAACTGGGTCTGCAGTGTATTGGGATGCATGAACAAGGCATCATATTCAACTCAAATGTGGAACTCTGGAAGAAAGTCCGCACCTTTTATGCAAAAGGTGGGCATGCTTTCAGTAATACGCAAGTTACAATATATTAACCGTGAAGAGGCTGATATAAATTGCATGACCACTTTTGATATCTCAGTGTCACAAATAACATTTTAATTTATTTACGTCATTTTATTTCAGGGGATTTTATCCATTTTTTTGAAATAGCAAAATGTAGCCGTAAGAGGTACTAAGCATATTTGTGTGTGTTTGTGTGTGTGTGTTAGCTCTAACAGGTCCAGGGCTTCAGAGAACTTTGGAGATTTGCACCACTTCCACAAACACACACCTGGATGATCTCTCTCACCTGACAGATGCTCAGGGACAGGTGGACATCCTTAACTTACTGCGGTGCATTGTAGTGGACATTTCCAACAGACTGTTTCTAGGAGTCCCTCTCAAAGGTCAGTCCTAAGAAACACTCAGACTAACATACAGTACATCATATTAAAAGTGCATACAGACACTTAAAATCACATTTAATAATCTGTTTAATGTTTTGCTATCTAAAGCAAATTATCTAATAAATGTTATCTAATAAATCTTACCAATTCTAAACAATTGAACAGTAGTATATTTTTGTATGCTCTGTATAGTGGCATTATGCAATTTTTAATAATGTGCTTAAAGGGATAGTTCACCCAAAAATGAAAATTCTGTCGTTTATTACTCACCCTCATGTTGTTCCAAAACCGTAAGACCTTCATTCATTTTTGGAACACAAAT